CAACAACGTGAAGACGGCCGTGTGCGACATCCCGCCGCGCGGCCTCAAGATGTCGGCCACCTTCATCGGCAACAGCACGGCCATCCAGGAGCTGTTCAAGCGCATCTCGGAGCAGTTCACGGCCATGTTCCGGCGCAAGGCCTTCCTGCACTGGTACACGGGCGAGGGCATGGATGAGATGGAGTTCACCGAGGCCGAGAGCAACATGAACGACCTGGTGTCCGAGTACCAGCAGTACCAGGACGCCACGGCCGACGAGCAGGGCGAGTTCGAGGAGGAGGAGGGCGAGGACGAGGCTTAAGCTCGCGGTGTAAAGCGGGTTAGGGAAAGCTGAGAAGGAAAAGCACGGGGGAGGGGGGCTTAGTGGTGAAAATCTCGTGGCAGTCGAAGGAAAGAAGCATGGTCTTCTCTAGGTGTGTGCGCGGCATCTCTGGTGCTCTTCACTGTTGCCTGTCATTTGGTTTCCTTTCTTTTTGTAATATTGACGACATCAGTGTAACATTTGAGCTATTTCTGAACTACTGTTGTAACGGCTAAAATCACATAAACGTTTGTGTCCTAATGGTGTCCTCTCTTCTGCCTCCTTCTCTTTATTGAGTTCTTTATTGCCATTTGAATGTAACGTTTGGAACACATTATATTAAATTCTTCCTCTAGCAAAGGGAAGGGATGGGTGAAAATGAATTTACCGATGGCATGCTAAAATTGAACCAACCACAGTCATACCCAGCTGAAGATGTGACATCAACCCGAATTTGTAAATGCCTTTAAATATTTTATTAGTTGAAAGGTTGCCTACTTGAAAGCCAACTAAGTGTCCTTTCATGTAGAAATCCTACTGTGTCTTCACTTGCTTTACCAAAAAAAAATTTTTTTGAATAAGTTACTCCGTGCAAACAGCACAAAATTCTAAAGGATAGAGAGTGGAAAGTACGTCTCTTCCTCCTGTGTTTCTTGCTACACTTTTCCTCCCCGGAGGGCAACCATTCTTATCATCGTTCTTTCCTGAATCCTTGCAGAAATATCCCATATATCTTCAAATCTGGGTAGATTATTCCCTTTTTTTCCCTTCACACATTTTATGATAGGAACACTGTTCTGCTGACTCTTCTTCACTGAACAGTTTATCTTCAAAATATAGAGAGCTTCCCTCCTTTAAAAGGATACACAGTATTGTGCCATACTTTATTTAACCAGTTCCCTACCAATGGACATGTAGGTTGTTTACACTTTTTTCCTACAGTATAGTGCCACAATAAATAATTTTGTGTATATGTCATTGTGTGTATGAGAATAGCTATCCCGTAAATTTTTCCATGGAAATTTTCTGCCAAGTTGTGTCATACTCTGCCTTAGTTTGGGCTGGTCAGTTTCTTTTTTGGGGAAGAGAAGCGGAGAGTAAGTTATAAACAAAGGTACAAAATTTGTTTACATACCCTTATAGAAAGAAAAATAAATAAAACACTGGAGCTATAATTTTTCTGATTTTTTAAACAAATGCAAAATTGGAAAAATTATTACCTTAAATCTGACCCTGTATTTATTTCATTCTACTTGCTTCTATTCCTACACAAATGTTTTTTTTGTTTTTTTTAATTAATTTATTTTTAAGGAATTTTTTTTTTTTTTTACATTTACTTATTTTTGAGAGACAGAGTGAGCAGGGGAGGGGCAGAGAGAGAGAGGGAGACACAGAATCAGAAGCAGGCTCCAGGCTCCGAGCTGTCAGCACAGAGCCCAATGTGGGGCTCAAACCCACGAACCGTGAGATCATGACCTGAGCTGAAGTCCGACGCTCAACCGACTGAGCCACCCAGGTGACCCTGTTCTTTTTTTTTTTTTTTTTTAAGAAGGAGGAGAAGGAGAAAAGATGAGGGGCGGGTTAGGGATTTCTGTTTTAAAGAGGCTGAGGTATTCATGAAAACAGTTCCAAAGAAAAAGTGTGAGCAGCGTCATTCTAAATGGTGTGAAAACAGCCCTCACAATGGAAAAGAGCAGCAGTTTACTTTACAAGAATTATATATTATAAAAACTAGACCTAGTGATGAGTAGGGGCACGAGTCAAGAGTCAGTGACTTCTGTTTCAATATTCTGTATTTAACAATGAACTGGCTGGTGCCATTCCTGCTGGGCTGATGTAAAGCTTCCAACAACCTAATTGAAGGGGAACATTGGTTTTAAATGCCCTGAACACTTGGGTCAGCTGCCAGGGCCCCCTGGATCCTTGGCCATGCATTCCCCACAACCTGTCAGACACATGATCCAGTGACTTTGGAGAAGACAGGGATCACTGCCAGGTGCTTCTTGGCATATCGTAAGTATCCTGCCTCTTTTGCACCTTGTGAGAAGGGGACAGGCAGGCACCCAGCAGGCCAGCCTGCTAGCCTGTCAGCATACCCAGGTCTGTGTGCTGCTAGACCTTACTTCCACATGATCAGAACAGTGGGTGCCAGACTGACCAGTCCAAGCAGATGCTCTGGGGCAAAGCTTTAAAAGCACAGTTGTATACTATGACTTGGAATGCATACTTAGGAAAACAGTTCAAAAGCAAGAAAATGCAGACTAACACTTAGATTAAAAGATACTTTTTGAAACTCTTAGTTTCTTTTGTTGCATTACCATTGTACATTGATGGAATTTGTAGTGGTGGGGATAGTCATGGCAGTGGGGCTGGTGGGGCTGGTGGTGGTGGTGGTGGTGAGTGTATGTGTGTACGTGTATGTGTGTGGGTTTTCACCCCTCAACAAAGGAAATGTTCTATTGCTCCCTGAGGTGCCACCAAGAGGATATTCACTATTAGGCAGACACAGTATCCAAATTATAAAACCCACTGGGATGTGATGCAGGATTCAAAGGTTGGGATTCAAAGGTTGGGGTTAGGGAGGAGAAGCTGGAGTTACCTTGAGGTCCTTCCAAGAATCTGAGAAGGAACAGAAATCCCATATGTTCCAAATTTGCCTGCCCCTCTACATCAGCCCCAGAGATGATCTTAGACTATGTCGGAGCTCCCATTTCATCACAAGTGTGTTCAATTAATCGAAATTTGAACCAAAAGTAACCTTAAGAGATCATCTAGCTTGACCTCTTTATTTTGGAAGGGAAGAGATTGAAGCTCAGTGACTTTTGTCTAAGGTCACTGGACTTTTTCTGTACAAATCAGATCTTGGACTCAGTGTTCTTCTCTCTACAACATCTCTCAGGTTCTGTTATATACAAGGCCACATGAAAACGAGAAAGAGAAATGTCCTGGCTTCCAGAAAAAAACTCCAATGCAACTCAACCTCCCTGGATAGGTTGGGCACAGATGAAATGCTGAAGGGCCTTTGTCTCTAGTGGCATCACTGTTTGACTGATGATGCTGAATTTCCTGGTTCTAAAACACTGCAGATACACTGTTCTAGTGTAATCATGGTGGCTAGAATGTTCTGTCGGGGGATGGTTGCTGTGAAAACGAGTAGGAAGTTAATGAGTAGGAAGTAGCACATTGGAGTGCCACCTTCTACACATCCCCATTTTAGTTAAGATGTGACTTATATACTAGACAAAGCTGTTTGACAACTACTGTAATGCTAATTTCCTTCCAGTGTTTAAGAGAGATTCTATCATGTAGTCATGCTTTTTTTAAATGCACCTCAAAGTTGAGCTATTACCTTGAAAACTGGTCCACTCATACCTTTGTTTCTTAGAAGCTTTCCCCCCCTATCTTCCCTGTTCCTCGTTTTTCTTCAGGCATGCTTGCCAACACATACCCAGAGAAGCCTATTTGGGTGCAGTCTATTTCACTCAAAATGTTTCATAGTCATATTTTCTTTTCCTTTTAACTGAGATAGAATTTACAGGCCATAAAAATTCACCTGCAGAAGAGTACAAATCAGTGAGTTTTATTATATTCACAGAGTTGTGCAACTATTACCACTATGTAATTGCAGGGCATTTTCATCATCCAAAAAACAAGCCCCATGCCCATTGGCAGACCTTCCCTCTCCCCTCTTCCTCCAGCCCCTTGGCAACCACTACTCTTTCTGAAACTATGGATTTGCCTAGTCTAGACATTTCATGTAAATGGAATCATACACTCTGGTTTTTTTGTGTCTGGTTTTTTTTTTTTTTTACTTTGCATAATGTTTCCAAGGGTCATCCATGCCATAGCATGTGTCAGTGCCTCAGTCCTGTTTATGGATGAATATTATTCCATTGCATGGATATGCCACATTTTGTTTATCAGTTCATCACTTGGTGGACATTTAGGTTGTTTCCACTTTTTAGCTATCAAGAATAATGCTGCTGGGCACCTGAGTGGCTCAGTTGGTTAAAGGTCCGACACAGTTTTGGCTTAGGTCATGATCTCATGGTTTGTGGGTTCAAGCCCCACGTTGGGCTTCATGCTGACAGTGTGGAACCTAGTTGGGATTCTCTCTCCCCATCTCTCTCTGTCCCTCCCCTGCTTGCTCTCTTGCTCTCTCTCAAAATAAATAAATAAACTTAAAAAATTAAAAAAATAATAACACTGCTATGAATATTCGTGTGTGTGTGTGTGTGTGTGTGTGTGTGTGTGTGTGTGTGTGTTTCTCCTGGCTATATACCTAGGAGTGGAATTGTAGGGTCACATGTAACTCTATGCTCATAATCATTTTGACTTCCACCTAACGATGTAAATGCTTTTGAATTTGCCCAGATGGCCAAGATAAAATAGAGATTAGGAAAGCCTTGGGATTTTGTACTTGTGCACTCATATAGAGTCTTAATATTGTATAGTTAGAGGAATGGAGGGGACTGTAGAGATCTAAGCAAGGAAGAGGGGGAAGAGGGAGGGTAAAAAGGTACCTTCTAGCTAAGTAAGCCACTTTAAAGATAATGTCAGGAGTCCCCCCAAAGACTTCTTCTTCCATTGCATTGGCTACCCTTTTTGCAGGGAAGGCTGTACAAATAGGCTTTTGGATGGACACATTATCCCCCCAATAATTTAGAGGTTCTGTTAGAAAGGAAGAAGTGGAGAATGGACACTGGATGGGAAACTGGCAGTTTCTTTCATAATTAAAAAGTGGTCAAGAAATGACATTAACCCAGATCTCTCAGCTCCTTTCCAGTGCTCTCTGTAGATATAAGTTTGCAAAGGGCTTCATGTTTGAAGTGCTCATTTTCCAAAGCAGAGAGCTGAAGACTGAATGAAAGGTTTCTTTTCTTGTCTTGTCTTTTTTTAAGTAGGCTTCACACCCAGTGCAGAGCCCAACTCATGACCCTGAGATCAAAACCTGAGCTGAGATCAAGAGTCAGATGCTTAACCGACTGGGCCACCCAGATGCCCCTGAAAGAAGATAT